GAAAACTCTCATCTCTTTGCGCCATTACCAGAACAAATCTCTTATAAAAACCTCTTTTTCTCTTTCATCTCGCCTTCTTACTGAACGGGAAGTCCGGAACCACCGTTGCTGCCTGCATACAAGCTTTCTTCTTATGCTTCTCCTAAAATCAGTGTCTTTCCCTGTTCCTCTGAAATTAGTGCCAGAGTCCAAGGAAGGAAACCCGATCTGGGACGGCGGAGGGAAACCAGGCCCGCGGAGACTAGATCTCACGTTCTCTTCTGTCGAGTGTCGAGCAGGCAACGTTCTGGAGAAGAGGAGGAGCGGCAGGGTGAAGTGAAACCGAAATGATGGGGAAGAAAGAATCGATTAGGGATTAGGCCATTAGGGTTTTTATTTTTCAATTTCGTCGCAGGAAACGGCGACGTTTCCTTTGAAATCAGTCTACCGTCGGTCGGAACAAAACCAGAAGATATCTCGGATCGTGTCGGTTATGCCGTAAAAATCGGCCGGCGCGGTAATTTGCTTGGTAAATGGGTGTCGTATCGTCCCTGGTCCGGTTCTCGATTTTTCCGATTGAACCGGCTGGTACGATCCGGTTTTCTGTTCCATGCTTAACTTCCAGCCGCCCACAGCACCATTGACCCGACTCGGCATAGTGGTTTTGGGGTCCGGTCAGCTCAGCTGACTATCTCAGGCCTAGGGGTGTTCAAACGGTTTGGTTACCGTGGTAACCGTTTTAACCGGTACTATTTGGATAATTTGGTTTGGTTAATTTGAATAATTGGTTTGGTTTGGTTAAAGTTTTTAGCTTGTTTGGTTTAGGTGGTTTGGTTTGGTTTCAGACACTCCTAACCAGTCAAACCAAATTAACCAGTTAATTAATTAGTCATGTATCTAGCATATATTATATACACATACTTAATACTTTGCATAACAACTCAAGAGTTAACGTTCATCCCTTTTAGACTCATATAAAATATAAAACTCAATATTGCTCATACAGTGTATATTTGTATATATAAAGTGTATACCACAACATATGGACGCCTAATTTAGTTAAATTTCATACATTATGATGGATGAAAACTTGAAAAGAAGGTCATTTCCAGCCTATGATAATTGCTAAGAGACTAAGTCAATTTACACAAACATAACAATTCATTAACCCATACCATTGTCATAAATTTTTGTTAGGCGATACTTCTATACTAATTGTAAGATAATTGTCTTAGTTGCATGTATTTTTGTTAAGGGTCAACTATAACTACGTGTTGATTGTTATGTTTTATTCATTATATAAATTGCGAATTGTTGCATTAACCGAAAAATTTTCATCACTAATGATAATGTGATTTTATATTGGTTAATCTGGTTAACCAATTAACCAAACCGATTAAACTTTAGTTTGGTTAATTTGGTTATTGTATTAGTTTGGACGGTTTGGTTATGATATTGTATTCCATGGTTAATGGAATTTAACCTTATTTGGTTTGGTTATAACCATGGTAACCATTTGAACACCCTCTACAAAACAGTGATGGTATCACCGCTGAAGAGAAGAACGGGAAATAATCCACGCTTTTGTGAAAAACGGGGACACTCTGACAGTTGATGACAAAAACGGTAAAGTGGCGCGGATCGCTGACATGGACACGCGCGGGCACTTCATCGTTAATGACAAAAGCGGTGATAGCCCCGCTGTCCATGTCATTGATCCTTATCGTCCGCGCGCTTCACCGTTACCGTCAGATGCGGTGAGGCGCGGATTCTGGTTTTTCTCCCAGATCCGACGCCTCAAATCAAGCCACGTCATCAATCCGCGCAGTTCACCGCCTTCGAGAAAAGCGAGTTTGTTTCACCGTCTTGGACCAGAGCGGGGAAAGCTCTGTGGTCCTCACTATAAATACCACTCCATCCCCCCTCATTTCAACCATACCACCACTTTTATACTTCTTTCTCCCTCCATTACTTCCCCCTAGTCTCGTTCTAAGTATGCTCTGTAGTTGCGGCTAAGTCCGATCTTCCACATCAGAAAACATTACTAGAGTTTTTATTTTGTTTTCAATCCATTGCTCTAAAGTTTCGTCGATACTCTCTCCAGCTTTTCAGCAAAAAATGGACGAAAAGGCTATGAGAGTACGATTTTTTTTTTCTTTTGTGATATTTTTTTAATTGGGTTTGAAATATTCTAATTTCATTTCATATTTGTTTATAGATGGGTGCTGAGATATACGACCCGCATTTGTATATCGATCCTGGCCCAAGGGATCGAAAATATTTAAATGAGCAAGAACAACATCGCTCCCGTGCAATTTGGGACAATAATCCGGTAGACACTCGTACTGTATAAATTTTTAAATTATTTCATTAGGTTAAAAGTTTTTGTTTTGCTTTTTTTTTTCTAATAACATTGTATTTTTTGTTTTGTAATAATCACTTATTCCCATCACTCATCGAGGGACATGTCGATAGCCTAATTGGCATCCTCATCTCGAGCCCTATCTAGAGAGGACGGGATTGCACATGCTGAGACATTTCATGCGGCTTGATATTGACAACGATTTGCTTACGGCAATGGCAGAGCGGTGGCGCCCCGAGTTGCATACCTTCCACTTTCCCGATGGGGAAATGACGATCACCCTCAGAGATGTTGTCATCCTCACCGGGCTGCCGGTCACTAGAGAGGCCATCATCGGCAACTCAAGTAAACCCGAAGGTGGTTGGGGGTCGTTGATTCTCAAGCGTTTGGGGTTCAACATGCCGACCACAACGCTCGTCAAGGGGTTGGGCATCCACCGCTCAATACGGGGCAAGTTTCAATCCCGTGGCTTGTTGAACACATCCAACAGGAGGTTAATTTAGGGCCAGACACTCCAGAAGATCAGGTGGAGCGATATGCACGCGTTTACCTCATTGTGTTGGTCGGTGGATTTCGGTTCCCCGACAAGGCAAACCGGTGGTTGGGACGTGATCGGGGGAAAGAGTTGGGGGTCGACCATAATGGCTGGGATCTACTGAGAGTTGTGAACTTGCTCGAGGTTGGGAGCGAAACAAGCTGGAGGTGCGATGTTCATACTCCAACTTTGGGCATGGGAGCATCTTCCAATATTCGCTCCCCGAGACACGCGGAAATTCTAGGGTCCAGATGAGGAGCTACGCTTTCTAGCCAATCCCCCCTATAGTGTCAAGTAAGATTAATTTACATGCTAATTTTATTCCAAGTATGCAATTTTAGTATTTTAGTGAATTTAGATACAGTCCAAGTATGAAATTTTAGTATTTTAGTGAATTTAGTGAATGAGTGAATTTAGATACCGTCCAAGTATGCAATTTTAGTATTTAAGTGAATTTAGATACAGTCCAAGTATGCAATTTAGCGAATTTAGATTCATTCAAGTATGCAATTTAGCGAATTTAGTGAATTCTCACATGCATAGCAATGCATATATTCTTTTAAAATATCTTATATACGTACTTTTTCTTAATAAGGTGGATCGAAGCAAATACAAACGACCACCAGCCTTACTGTTTTATCGTGCTGAGTTTGATAAGCCTTGGTGGAACCAGGTAAAAATGTCAAATTGGATCATTTTAAATTTTTTAAATGGATTAGGTTGCAATTAGTACTAAATCCAAATCATTAATGAGTGTAGGTGACATGGGATCCATATCCACCTCAAGTCGTCGAGAGTTATCGTCTTAGACACCCCCAAGATGTACAGACGTGGTTGTGCAAGGTGCCCTTGATCTGTTGGCACATGGTGGAGTGACACTTGCCGGATCAAGCATGGAGGCAGTATCGGATGGAGCAACCAATTCCAGCATCCCCACCTCAAGAGTTCAAAAAGCTCCATGACATCGACCTAAGGCACAAATCAAAGAATTAGATCCGCAAGCATGAGTTCTACATCAACATTTGGGAGAATAGAGCAACTTGGGATGTCCAAGGTTTACCGGAGATGAGGCCAATGGGGTACCACGATGGATACATGGTGTGGTATCGGAAATTCACACTTAGATGAGTGTCAAAGCAAGGTGTTGTGTGGGGAGCGGTGGTAAGTGATTCCAATTCTTACTCTTCGTCATATTCTTATGCTTTTGTCCCTAGATTACATGCTTAGATTTGAGTCATGACAATTAAAATGATTAGATTCATTTATTGCATTTTCTAATTATTTGTATTAGGTTGATGGCTTGGAACATGCCAAGCACACTGTCGAGAGTGCACCTACCATGGACAGGCGGAAGACATCTTTCCTACGAAGTCTTTTCAACAACCTGCTCAGTTGTACGCAAGAGCAACTTAAGTTGTTCTCCCCTTCAACTAATGCAAACGCCAGGGGGAAAATACTTAAATTTCTATTAAATTTCCATCAACGCCAGTGGCAATGAGAAGAGTTCCTTTATACTTCCTAGTAAGGAAAGTTCCATCAACCTGTTAAAAAGAATTATAGTTAGTATAAATATTACTTAGGAAAAAAAAAAGAAATACAACAACATTGTTTAGACCTTAATATACCTGGATAACTGGCATGCAGAAAGCAAAACCGTCAATGCATGGCTTGAAGGTCCAGAACGGACGATGAAACATCAACTCGTTCTGTAATTTAACTTGATCCTCAGTGTATACATTGTTGTAACACGGCACGAAAACAGTCCCAGGGTTGGACTCCTCCATTGCAGCCATTAATCTAGGGAGTAAAGCATACAAGTCGTCCCAATCACCATAGACCTCAGCCATGGTCTTCTGCTTCCCATTCCACGCCTTCTTACACTTGATCGTGTAGGAGTGTCGATCCTTCACCTCTGCCATCCTTCGAGTGTCAAGCTGAGCCAGCTTAGTTCTTTGATTAATGTTTCATTTGTTCCAAATAAAGAGCCTTGTCACTCTTGTTCACGTGCCAAGCAGACTCGAACTCCTTTTCCTTTTAGTTATGTTCGTACCAAGGAGTGTTTTGATTTGATCCATGTTGATATTTGGGGTGGATATAAAGTCGCATCTCTTAGTGGTGCGCATTATTTTCTCACGATAGTGGATGATTTTAGTCGAGCTACATGGGTATATTTTCTTCGTTATAAGTCTGAGGTTGGTCGATATTTGATGATTTTTCTTCAGTAGGTGCAGACGCAGTTTAGTCGTTGTGTGCAATGCATCCAAACAGATAATGGACTTGAGTTTAATACTCATGTATTGCAGCAGTATTATGACAGTGAAGGGATCGTTCTTCAGACCTCTTGTAATGACACACCACAACAAAATGGTGTGGTTGAACGAAGCACAGGCATCTTCTGGATATGGCTTGGGCTTTTTTTCAGGCTAGTCTTCCCCTTTGGTTTTGGGGAGAATGCATTTTAACTGCTGCTTATCTTCTCAATCGTCTACCGACAGTTGCTACTAGTAAGATTCTGTTTGAGCGTCTTTTTGGGAAGCCCGCTCAATATTCTCACCTTTGTGTTTTTGGTTGTCTGGCTTACTGCAAAGACACTCATTCTGGGCTCGATAAGTTTGCCGAGCGTGGACGTGCTTGTGTTTTTCTTGGCTATGCCTCTAGTCAGAAAGGGTATCATGTTTATGAACTCACCAGTAAGAAACTTTCACATCTCGTGCGTTGTTTTCCACGAGATCGTCTTCCCCTTCCAGCAGGATCATCGTTCTGACTTTCATTGGGTTCCTTGTTTCGTGCTTGAGGCTCGCAACAAAGAAGATCTTGAGGTTCCCGACGAACACCTGTCGCCTAATCCTCCACTAAATGAGCAGGTTTCCCCTGCTTCTCCTCCGTTTTCTCCTACCCAGTCGGTCACTTCCCCCTCCAAACCTGTACCTCATAATGTTGATGCTTCTTCACCCGCGGAGGCTCCTTCTTCGGTCCATAATGATGAAGCAATCACTTCATCCGCGACCTCACCATCTCCAAGGCCCGAGCTCACTCCACCCCGGCGTAGTGATCGTGTGAAGACCATTCCACGACGCCTGGATATTTATGATCTTCCTCCCATTCCTGGACACCCTACTGCGTCCTCCGCAGCTAAGTACCCACTCTCAGCTTTTGTTTCTTATGATGGTTTCAATCTGACTTATCATAGTTTTTTGGCTGCAGTCTTGTCCCACATGGAACCTCGGTCATTTCAATAGGCGATTAATGATCTGCGTTGGCGTGAGGCCATGTCCAAGGAGATTTATGCGCTAGAACAAAATGGCACTTGGAGTTTGGTGCATCTACCTCCTGGTAAACGTGCTATCTCTCCCAAATAGGTCTACAAAATCAAGTTCAAGCCTGAAGGGTCCATCGAACGGTTCAAGGCGGACCTTATCGCGAAAGGGTATACTCAAATCAAAGGTATTGACCTCCATGATACCTTCGCCCCTGTTGCAAAACTGGTTATCGTTCGTTGTCTTCTCGCGGTGGCTGTGAGTCGAGGTTGGTTTATGCACCAACTTGATGTCAATATTGCCTTTTTTACACGGGGATCTTGAGGAGGAGGTCTACATGAAGATTCCTCAAGGTTTTGCTCAGCCTGGTGACACCAGAGTGTGTCGTCTGCATAAGTCTTTGTATGGACTTCGGCAAGCTTCCATGAATTGGTATCACAAGTTCACCACGGCCTTGTGCAGCCTCGATTTTCGTACTTCTCCCGCGGACCATTCCTTGTTCATCTATCGCAAGGGCAGTTCCTTTGTGGTGGCGCTTATTTATGTTGATGACACTCTGCTTACAGGAAATGATTTGGCTTTTGCTCCTAAAGTCAAAGCATTTCTCGATGCTGAGTTTGGCAGTAAAGATCTTGGTGATTTAAGGTATTTCCTTGGTATGGAGTTCTCTCGCACAGCGGATGGCGTTGCTCTCTGTCATTGCAAGTATGCCCTCGATATTCTTAATGATGCAGGTGTTACTAGTGCTCGTCCTAGTTCTTTCCCGGTTGAACAGAACCATCACTTGACTCGTCCTACTGTTCCGGATGATGTACTGGCGGATCCGTCTTCTTATCGCCGGTTGATTAATATTGTTCGTCTTCTTTACTTGATTGTTACTCGACTTGATCTTACTTGTGGTGTGAATCTGCTTAGCCAGTTTGTTTCGGCTCCGCGCCAAGAACATATGGACGCCGCCACCCGTATTCTCCAGTACCTGAAGTCCACTCCGGGTCAAGGATTGTTTTTTCCCGCTCATAGTGACTTAGCCCTTACTGCTTACAGTGATGCCGATTGGGGTGGCTGTCAGAGTACACGCCATTCTACTACTGGTTATTTCATTAGCTTGGGTGGTGCTCCTGTCTCTTGGCGCACGAAGAAGCAACATGTTGTTGCTCGTTCCTCCGCTGAAGCTGAGTATCGTGCTATGGCTAGCATGATTAGTGAGGTTCTTTGGCTTCGATGGTTACTCACTGAACTTGAGGTTCCTCAACCTCGTTCTACTCCCCTTTATTTGTGTCTACATTTTATGCGGTTCGCGGTTTGCGGTCGGTTCAAACCGAAACCGCGCGGTTGCGGTTCAAACCGCAAACCGCAACGAAATCATGTCATTCAAAACTTTACCAAGCCGAACCATTCCACAACTAGCTGCTTTGCTGCCAAGGCTGATCATACCTCTCTGGCAGCTTCAGTTAACAAAGCTGCAAATTCCAACATACCGATCCAGTTTTGTCTTTAACATCTGTACTTCTTTTGCAATAATTCTTCCACAATTAACCCAAAACAAAGCTGAGATCCACGAGCAACAAGAACAAACTTTTTATGGATATGATGTACACCAAAAGAAGGGCTTGAATTGTGAAGGAAATGATTTACTATTTCGCTAAAACTATAATGAATTGACAAGGAAGAAGCAGTTGCAGAAGTTGCTCTTGGAATAATGAACATATCAGCTGTGTAATGGTGATCAAGAAAAGACGACCCACCAACATGAGATTGCAATTTTAACTTCATTCCTTCTACCTCCCTTTGTAGGTTCAAGTCAGTGTAAGATCATTCCATGATTTTGGCAAGTGACTTGTCTGTCATGTGTCTACTTTAGTGGATTTGTGCAAATTTCTTTTATGCTCTGTTTTTTGTATGCTCTGTTTTCTGTTATGAGAAGAAGATGGACCTCTTTATATTGCTCAAGGAAAGCATTCTCTCTTTATATTTATCTGTTACAATACTGGTTTAATTTGTTGGGCCTCATTTCTACAAGAAAGTAACATTGCCTCTGTCAATAGTAATTAGTACAGTTCAACATATTCTGATAGGGAAAGACAATATCTATTTGTTTCATTATGAATTGCGGTCAAACATGCGGTGCTGGCTAAACCGTACCAATCCGTTAACCTATGCGATTTGATTTGACCGCACCGATTACATTGCGGTCCAACATACGGTGCGGTCCAATTAATATGCGGTGCGGTGCGGTTTATATCAAAGCGGTACGGTGTGGTTCTAACCGCACCAATGCCCACCCCTAACTCCTGATCCTGGTGGTCCCAATTTCCCCTCTTGAAATAATGTGTGATATGAAACAGGAGTTATGACACGTGTCCACATAATGCGAAACATGTTTGATGAATCTCCTACTAAATTAAGAACCAGGCAAGCTGACAATTTTGAGACTGTCCTTTTGCAAAGGAAGGGGGTGCTTTCCCATTTAATTCCTTCCTCTCCCACTCAATAATTGCATGCCGGTCCCATATATTTGATATGCATCGCAATGACGACGACGAGAGACAAAACTGGGGGGACCCTTTTCCCTCCTTACCTTTCTTTTTCTTCTTCTGCTGTCGTTGTTTGTTGAGAAAGGCATAATAGAAAACAAAACCTTCTCTGCCCATTTTCACCTCTTCGTATGAGCTCTATTTAAGCTTTTCGTTCGCCTTCCATTTGAAACTTCCCACACAACCAGCTCTCTTTTCCACTTGGAGAGCAACTTCTCATCCTTACTCATCATGTCTAGCAGGAGATCATCATCATCAAGAGCTTCAACAATGTCTGAAGATGAGATTATCACTGACCTCGTCCTGAAACTACAAGCTCTTCTACCGCAGCTTAATCCGAGGAAGCCCTCAAAGGTATGAACTCTGCTGCACATTTTACTGCATCTTAATTAGCTTTGTCTTAACCAACAACATTTGAGCAACACTTGAACCTGCTTTGGTTGTTGCAGGCACAGGCATCGAAGGTGTTGAAGGAGACATGCAGCTACATCAGGAAGCTGGAGAAAGAGGTGGATGATTTGAGTGGAAGGCTGTCCCAGTTGCTGGACACCATTGATCCCAACAATCAGGATTTTGATTTGGACTCCATCAGAAGAAGTTTACTACAGATCTGATTAATTACTTTAGTTTTGATTCTTAATTATAAGTTGATTGAACCGGATTATCTTAATGATCCGGTTTGTCCTATTCTCTCTACTTCACTTCTTCTCCCACCACCAACCCCTTATTCCTTTGGCTATAGCTAGCTGTACTATAGTAGTAGCCATCTTGTCGTTACCTGGTCAGGGGTTAATGTTGTGCGGAGTTGAGCTTGGAATATTGTACGTACGGATTAACAAGTGATTAATCGAATATATAATTTATTTCTTCTTTTAATTATTTATTGATATATAAAAGCATTGGTTTAGATTTACTATTAATTACGTGGGTTTTTGTAATTATCGTGAATTTAGTGGCAATTTCATTTGCTCAAAAAAAAAACTTCATCTCTTCAGTTGTTGAAAATTTCTCCCCGTCTTCAATCGTTGACTAATTTTTCACCACCTAGAGGAGATTAAGGAATTTACAGACACCCACCGACCATGCATATTCTGATTACGTGTATTAAGGCTATGCATTCTATTTTTTTTAATTATTATAAATTAACAATCTTTGTGAGTTTTATAACTATTCAACTCAATGTCGACTAATCATGCATATTTCAATCGCATGTATTATGATTTTGCATTTTCGTTATAGAATCTTATCAATTTTTTTATGTTTTATAGATTAACAATCTTTGTGATTTTTTGATTATTCAACTCAAGGTCGACTGATCACGCATGACGCATATTTCAATCACGCACATTCCGTAAATGGGTTTCTACTTTAGAATCTTATTCTTTGTGAGTTTACTATTCGACTAAATATTTGATTTGTTGCATAGATTCCAATTTTGGAATATGATGCATCATTGTCCATCGAGTCCAATTTACTGTTATAGCTTAGATGTATATTTTATTATATTAATGGAAGGTTGACTCGATAGTTTTAACATTATTTTACATGTGACTCAACATACTTTTTCTTGAACTGGATTTATGTTATATTGGTTCATTTATCGATTTACATGATTGGAGAATAGTATTATGTGAAAATTGATCATATTGCTTCTTATTTCAAAACTAAAACTTTAGTAAAACAAAAAATGAACATTGCTTGTGAAACACGGGTTTCAGACTAATATATATGTATGGTGTAATACTCTGATACTCTCATTGAGATAGCTCCGTTCAGAACATAAACTGGAATTTGAAATACAGTGTTATACTTCCATCTTTAATGGGTAACCACACACCTTTTTTTCTTTATACTTGAACTCTATAATCAAGTTAATAAAAATAATAATCGACCATTCTCATTCTAACATCTAATGATATTCAAGGATAAAGTCACTCCAAGTATCATATATATGTTGTGGAGCACACTAACCTTTACCATTAAACATATATTTTGTCTAATTATTCTGCTGTTTTGTCCTGTATGTGTCTCATTAACCCCCTACAGCCGACCACCAACTACCTGTAACTTAGTTACCAACTCACCTTAATCATATAAAAGACAACTCTCATAGTTTGATTCAAAGCATATGGTCACATTGGCGTGCATTTCTATATTTAGCTGCTATATCATATTGTGCACATTTGTTTAATTGTACATTTTGGTAGCATCTTTTAGGGTTTTAAGAATTTGGCACCAAACACAGCAGGAGATCTCCCATAGGACCAATTCATAGTCCAAGATAGTCATTGGTGGATTTACTATATATATTCTCAGATCTATTGTAAGACATGGCTTGAGATGGTCTTATATAACTTTGTCTTTAGATGGTAGAACATGAACTAGACAAGATCCATTGATTCTTCTTTGTTTATGTATAGATTTGTGTCTGTAGAATAGCACAATGGCCACTCTGAACATATCCACTTTGCATCTATTTCGAATAAATAGAAACAGCAAAAATAGTCTATTGAAGTGATAAGAAAAACGATAGACAAAACCAACTTATAAAGATTGTTAAGACACCACGATCATATCCTTGTGATGTGTAAGTGGAACAAAAGTTCCTTATCCCTCTTACAGATTAAGATCGTGACTTGTTTTGGAAAGAAAAAAAAAAAGATTAGGCATCCGATTTGAATATCACCGAGGAAAAAATAAAATAAAACTTATTCTCAAACAATGTAGTTAAAGTATAGCTTCTTATATAAAAACGATATATGATGGGTAAAACTGGAAACGTAAGCTTTTAAACCTTCTATAAATATTATATAAATTTTCTAACAATAACATTTATTTTTCAAAATATAAACAAATTAGTGAATTTTCTCATATTTTAAAAATCATTCTCACCCATATAAACTAAATCAATAGACTTTTAAACAAGCATTCAACACATTTCTCCTCTTTTCAGGGAAAAAATATGAGAAGAAGAAGGAAAACATTGACAAATGATGAAGCTATAAGGGTTGTAGGCAAGTTTCACAAATAAATGAAAGTAGTGGCAAATGGGAGGCCGAAGGAGAGGAATTTTGACGATAGCCTGGATGAGAAAGGAAATTGGCCACCGGAATTTGCTTGTAGTTTGTTGGCTTTGGAGGCAGAGATAATATGAGAATGGAGGAGAAGCGGCAATGAATTAGAGATGAGGAATTCGTAGAAGGAAATACTGAAAGGATAACCCGAGTAAAAAACTATTATGTTTTTTTTTCTTTCAGCCAACAAAATTTAACCAAACTCGACCCGATATGGTTGGGTGTGCAACGATTAGTTCCAGAGCATACCACACAAAACCAGACCGACATTGAGACCGGACCAAACCGACCAAAAATAATGTGTGATCCTATGAATTTATAAATACTTGAGGAAAATGAGGCTGATTGATATTTGGACCAGACCAGATCACACTAGACTGAATACAATGTTGGTCTGATCATAGATTTTTTTTGGAAAAAATCCAAAAGTACCACTGTTTAAAAAAAAATTCCAAAAATACCACCCAATCCAAAAAATTCCAAAAATACCATCATTTTTCAAAAACCGCCACCCCACCCTGCGGTTTACACGAAAACCGCTGGGTGGGGGCACGGTTTTCTATGCAAACCGCTGGGCGAAGGGGCGGTTTTGGAAACCGGACCAAACCGCTGGGTGGGGCGGCGGTTTTGGACCAAACCGCCACCCAACCCAGCGGTTTGGTCCATTTTTTTCCCCGATCAACTCCTAACTTCGGCCGAAACTTCAAACGAACGTAACTTTGCACTCGGGTATCCGATCGTAGCGATTTTTTTTTGAATCCGAATAACTTTTCGAGATCTTGCAAACCGCAAACGGCCGTAGGCGGGTTGGTCCCGCCTTCATCTCGAAAAAACGTCATTTGCTACCACGAACGAGCTTTTTTTTTATTTCGTCAAACTTTGGGCGGCCTTAACTTTGTGCTACAAAATCCGAACGTCATAAATTTTTTTTTTATTCCGCATAACTTTTTGATATCTACAACTTTTAAGATAATCATAATTTCTAAATGTACATGGATTTGGGAAAAGTAAAGGTTAAGTTATTCCCAAGGTCCCGTATATACACAACTAATTCCTGTTTTGAAAATTTCATCCTAGTAAAAGTTGTAGATCTCAAAAAGTTATTTGGATTCAAAAAAAAATTCAGTACGTTCGGATTTTGTAGCACAAAAATAAGGCCGCCCAAAGTTTGACGAAATAAAAAAAAGGCTCGTTCGGTGTAGCAAATGACGTTTTTTCGAGATGAAGGCGGGACCAAACCGCCTACGTCCGTTTGCGGCTTGCAAGATTTCGAAAAGTTATTTGGATTCAAAAAAAAAATCGCTACGATCGGATACCCGAGTGCAAAGTTACGTTCGTTTGAAGTTTCAGCCGAAGTTAGGAGTTGATCGGAAAAAAAAAATAAAAAAATTGGACCAAACCGCTGGGTGGGGTATCGGATTGGTCGAAAACCGCGCCCCACCCAGCGGTTTGGTTCGGTTTCCAAAACCGCCCCTTAGCCCGGCGGGTTGCATAGAAAACCGTGCCCCCGCCCAGCGATTTTCGTGTAAACCGCAGGGTGAGGTGGCGGTTTTTGAAAAAGGTGGTATTTTAGGACTTTTTTGGGTTGAGTAGTATTTTTGGAATTTTTTTTAGACAGTGGTACTTTTGGATTTTTTCATTTTTTTCTTCTTTCTTTTGGACTGTGGTTCCCAAGATTTGGTTCGGTCCAGTTCATTACACATCCCTACACTATAGTCCTAATACTCAAATGCCAGAAGTCTAAAAATACAATTTAAAATCTAACTTGTTGCACACAAAAACTGAATAAAAACTACAATATTTAGAGATCTAAATCGTAAAAGTATAGACTTTTAGACTTTAAAACTAAGTTTTAATTGTGTTGCTCTCAGTGATAACCTATCATAATATCTCATTTCGTTCTGAGTGACAAAAATTGTCACTTAGGGTAGTTTGGAAGTTGCGATAGTTTTGTTGATATTGTCATTATGCATGTATTGTTTACAATGCATCGGTTTTTTGTTTTTTTAGCAGAAACAATACATGGATTGTTTTTGTGATGTGATAGAAACTATCACTCATTTTGAGTGATTGTTATATCTCAACTTTTAGTTGTGATTGTTGTGATAGTTGAGTTGAGATTGCTTTGTCTCGACTTTTAGTTGATGCGACATACACAATCACACATACCAAACGTTGTATTCTACAATGCATCAAATTCGACAATACATGTATAATATTATACATGCATTCTCAACAATACATTTATTTAACAATCGCAACTTCCAAACAACCCCTTAGACTAAAATAAATAACACCATATGATATCTCGTTTGAGAAACTTGTCTTATCTTATGTTTGAATTTGTGATTATTGTGTAAAGTTTCAAGCGTAGACAAACCTTCAACCTAAATATCATAACTATATATGGTGCCTTTTAGTGTACCCTGAGTCTGAGTAAAATCCAGGGTACCATATATCTTGAGTATGAAAACGCTATTTAGACATCTAATTAGCAGGATTTTTGGGCAGGATACTATACCACTAACCATTAATGTGTGAACCCTAAGCCCTAATTATCTAAATCATAAACTATAAACCCTAAGATGGTGCATTGATTTGTTGCCTAAATTTGAACGAATCATAACCGTCGATTATTGTTTCTAATTAAATTGATGTTGAGGTATAAGATTTAGAACTATCAATATATGAATATAAATTGTAGGTAATGATACAAAATTTAAGAACGAAGTAAAAAGGTAGACTATATTTGTAACTTCACTTATTTTATTAATTTATAAAAAAATTGAATCAATAAAAATTTGAGAACGAAGTAAAAAGGTAGACTATATGCTTATACATCTCGAAATGAATCGTCTTAATTAAATATAGTATGAACTAGATGTGTGTCCCTTTATTTCCATGAAGACTTATGAACATCCTTCTGAATCACCCACTTATATATCTTCACAATTTTTTATATATTCACGGTAACATCTCATCCTAAAACTCATGGGCTGAACAACGGTTTGCTCAAATATGATATTATCATCTAGTTCAAATCGTCGATTTATTAATTTATAAAAAATAAATAAAATCAGTAAAAAGTTGAGAATGAAGTAAAAAAGAGTAAACTATCCACTTATATATCTTGATAGGGATCATTGATTTCATTGATTTTGGGGATTTCATTGATTTTCAAGGGTTGATTTTTTTTTAATATAGTTATGGGTGGTGGAGATACGAATTTGTGTCTAACTCTTCCTATTATCTTCAAAAATTTATCCTTTGAATTTCATAAAATAAAAAGTGAATGAAAAGATATTTCATATTTCATATATTATTATTTTAAAAATTAAATATTTAAGAAAAAACCTCAAATTTGTACCATCAATTCTAAAAAAAATTTCAATTATTATGAGAACAACAGTTCATTCTTGATAAATTTAAAAATATAATAATGTATACATTGAACTTTTTTACAAGCATTCGGGTCAAATGGGTTATTCGAGTTGGGTTTGGTTCGGTTCGGTTACGGGTTATTTGGGTTATGAATTATTCGTGTTATAGATGGGTCGGGTTATGGGTTGGATCGGATAACGAGTTCATCGAGTTATGGGTTGTTCGGATTACGGGTCAATTGGTTTCGGGTTACGAGCGGGCTTCGGGTGGTTGACTTTTTTTCAAATCGGGTTACGGACGGGTTGTGGGTCGGACGGGTTGGGCGAGTTAGTCGGGTCGGGTTCAATTTTTGATAGCTCTACCCGGATTTAACCCGGGGTACCGTAGAAGCCACATATATATATATATATATATATGGTATATATGTATATATATGGTGACTACTTCGGCGCACTCACAAAAATGAGTGCGTTCAATGCACCCAACTCAAAAACTAGTCTTAAGGAGTCAGATTTTGAATTTTAATTTGTAGAATTAGTATAATATGATGATATAACATATGATAACAACTAATTAGCGGAATACCCTAAGCCCTAGACCTCCAATTTTGAGTTCTATCCCTAAACCCCAAACTGTAAACCCTAACCCTAACCCTAGATCTTTAAACTCTAAATCCTTCAAATTAAAGCAAATCTTTCATGGTTTTTGTGCAAATTCATGTGTGTTATTGTTCATCACATCATAAATGATGATTGACATCATTTTGACATAAATCTCATGTTTAAAATGACGATTATGAAGCGAGTGCACTGAATGCACCCAAAAAAGTGAGTGCACCGAAGATGCCACCGTATATATATATATATATATATATATATATATATATATATATATATAGTGCTGTATTCGGTGCACCCACTTTTTCGGGTGCACTCAGTGCACGCGCCTCATAATTGTCATTCTGACCATGCGATTCATGTCAAAACGGTATCAATTATTGCTTATGATATTACGAACAAGAAGCACATGAATTTGAAAAAAAATTCATTCAAAAATTCAGTCACTCGAATGACTGAAACATGTCATATTTAGTCACTCTCCCGTTAGCCTCTGTCCATCTCCAGTCACTCGAAATACTGAAACATGTCACATTTAGTCACTCTCCCGTTAGTTTCCGTAATTAATGTAGTTGGACGAAAACTAACGGGAGAGTGACTAAATTTTATATTAATTTTTTCTAGTGCCTAAACATGACACGATTTAGTAATCTCAGTGACCAAATGTGGCATTTACCCAATAACTCATAGAAGCAACATAGATCTTCAAGAGATTTTGGAATCAATAAGCATTGAACAAGAGGTGGATTGTGAAACTGGCCATAAAGAGTTGTGATCCAATCAAGTAACACAAACAGTAAGAGTTTCTAATATACATGAGGCAAACAAGTTCCAATCGAGAGATTTGTGAGGTTTATCAAACAAGATGAGCAAGCAACTTACAAGTGTGTCACCTCCAACATTAACTTCGAAAATCAAGGCATTGAGTTTGGATAGAAATCATGTTCAAGATTCGGTATGTATAGACTATTGACACAACGAATTCTGAAATAGGGAAGTTAAGAGACTTGGATCGAGAAATTGAGGATGTCCACCGGGCCGGGGATCGTCTTCAGATCCCTGACGATGGCGGCAGATATGCTAACAAAAGCTAATCACAAAATTATTTTATCCATTTCCACTGTCAAACTTTAAACCGTTTCACGAGTTCGAGTATATCTCGATATGTCATGTCATTTGGTTCCTGACTGGCGCTGGACCGTGCTTGGGCCGGCACGGCACGGGCACGCTTCGAGCCTATTTATTTCGTGTCGTGCTTGACACGGCTCGTTAGTTTTCGTGTCGTGTCATGCAAGTCCATTTGTTAACTTTGTTAGGTCCAGCACAGGCCCGGACACGGTTCGAATCGTGTCGTGCCTATTCGTGCTCGTGTCATGCTCGTATTTGTGTTTAATGAAAATGACGAATAAGGGGGAAAAAGAAAATTGGAAGTATAGCTAGTGTGATTTGGCTTTCTTTAATTCTTTGTCCATTTTTACTTATGTTAATAATTGCGTATATATCTTTATGACACTTCCAACAACAACAAATAATTATTTTTCTACTTGTGTTTTGTAATATTTGAACATATAAATTTTTTTATATTTATTTTCTATCAAATAAATATTACGTGTCATGTCCGTTCTTATACTCAATAAAGTCTCGAAAATATTAGGCCCGACACAGCCCATTTATATATCGTGTCGTGCCCGTGCCCATGAAATTTAGGCCCGGCACGGCTCATAAATTATTCGTGCTCGTGCCAGGTTGGCCCATTTATTTCGTGCCCGTGCTCGTGTCGTGCTCTAACCGTGTCGTGACGTGCTAGCCCGTGGGCGGCACGGCCCAGTGCCCACGTACATTCCTGACTCAAATAATAATGAGTATAAAGAACGCTAGCTTACCAAAAATCCATTTACGAAACCTTAACCGTGTTTAGGGATGGCAATTTACCCACCCATGGGTAATTTTGTCTAAACCCAAGTAGACCCATTAATTATGGGTAGGGTTTGGGTGATATGTGTATGGGTTTGGGGTTTGTATATGGGTTTGGGTTAGATATGGATATTATCTAAATGGGTATAGGTTGGATATAGATATCCATTTACTTGAGGGTGTTTTAACTACATATACAAAAATTGGACCTATTTGTAAAATTTGAAAAGTTTAGACATCAAAATGTGAGACCAAAAAATTTTAGCTACTAAAATGTAATTTTTCATCAATATTTTGAGGACTTATATACAAAAAAATTAATTTAAGTACTAAATATTCATAACTATTAAGTTTAGATACCAAATTATAATTTGCATTTGGGTATGGGTACAAACCCAAATCAATATGTTAAAAACCCAACTCAAGTAAATGGGTATGAGTACAAACCCATCAAACTCTACTCATCTAACATTTATTTGAATTTCATACCCAATCCAATTGAATTGGATAGTAAAATACGCATAGGTATATACTAATATTGCCATCCCTAACCGTGTTGATCCTGACGAGACCACAACTTCACAAAATGAACACAGCTTCAAACAAACCGAATAGACCATAACAACAAAAACTCGAACGCAATTCATGAAAAACCAAATAGGAAAAATATCTGCTTAGTGCTTATAATACCAAAACGAAAAAACAAGACTGATTGGATAGATTGTTCCCACTGAAGTTCACTAATCAAAGAAACAGACGCATATGGGATTGATATGATTCAACACAGAAAGCAAAACTAGTTGTTCAACTCCAAAGGCAACCTATTTTGCTTTAATCCTGAGCATCTCCTTCATCGTCACTACCAGCACCACCCTTCTTAGACGCCGCTGATTTCATGTTCTTCCTCTTCACCCTTCCATTCACGTCGGCATTACCAAATGGACTAGTCAATGCGAAATCAACATGCTTAGCCGAATCAATCCTAACCATGAAAGATGGCACATTCACAACCTGTCTTCCAACCCTGCCATTCACACGGTACATGAGCATTAGACTTGTAGCACCAGAAAATAATAACCATACAGAGTACACATCCTATTGATTGTTGAGGGTTGATCAACAGATATGAAGAAGACTCCTAAAAACGTAATAGTCGACCATAACCTATCAACCCTTCCAAAAACAGAAGGGATTTTGTTCAATGTGTGAATCTGATGATGATTGGTTTTATTTCTATCAGCTGTGAAGGAATGAGGTAATTCTTCCATTTGGATGACCACAAACGGATGGACTTGGCAAATCCTCCAAGTTCCCAAACACAATATTCAAACAAAATACCATGGAGCCCAATCTAACCATTTAAGCTCCACCCCATTTCACATCCACACATCCAAAATGAGGTATCTTACTATTCAGGCTTGGAGATTTCTTAATTTTTTGTCTGAAAATATGAAAGAACCACTTCCACAGAGCGTTAAATTCTTTGTTTACCTGATATGTTTCTGCCTGATGAGGACACGGGCATGGTGGATAGACTTAGCCATACCAGCCTTGAAAACAATAGTCTGCAGACGGCGCTCAAGGAAGTTTTCAACAGTCAAGGCCAAGACATAATCGAGCTTGTTCTGACTCTCGTCCAACAGTCCATAGCGGTTCATCCTTCGAAGAAGGGCCTCACCCTCAAAGATCCTACGTGGGTTCTTCTCATCCAGAGTCAAAAGCATTCTAGCAGCATTACGGATGCGGCTCAGTGCATACTGAACCCTCCACAGCTCCCGCTTGCACCGCAGTCCATACTCTCCCACTAGCTTCAGCTCAGCATCCAAACGCTCCTTCTCATAAGGACGACGAGGCTTCTTGAACGTCTTCCCATCTAGACATCCCAAAATATCATTTCAGAACACAGACGAAGAGGAAGAGAAAAAAACAAAAACAAATTGAAAAGCAGCTTATCTTCCCAAAATCTCAGAAATCAAGTAGCGCGAACAAATAAGGTACCAGATATTAACTGTACATTAACAAAACTGTTCAGATAACAAGCAGCTTATAAACCTATCAAGTAGATCAGGTCTAAAGTTCTCTAACGGGTACTCTGAAGAACAGTATATGAAACCCCCGCAGACAATCGCCAGCGAAATTACAGAGACATAATAACAGGATGGAAGGAGGGAGGGAAGATTACAGTTGCGGTAGAAGGCGACGTGCACCATGATTGCGTGCTGCGACGACGAGGCGTTCCCTGCCTCCGAGTTTTCCCTTCACCGTCGTCCTCTTTCTCGCACAGAAAAGGATCGCAGCTCTGCTAAAAATGGGGCGAGGAAGAATATAAGGGAAGGGAAACCCCCAAAACCCTAATTGGCCAAGTCTACTCTACTCTGTATTCACTGGGTTGCCTGAAGAAGTTGGGTTTCGAATTATGTGGGCTGTTTCATCTAATTTTCAAACTATGGGCTCGGTCCAGCTCGTTCACTTAGTATTAACAAACTACACTAGATAGATTTAGATTTGGGCTAATGCTAGAACCCCAGAAGGCCAGAACACATGGGCTGTCGTTAATAAACTATTGCCACCTTGTTTTTTTAACAATTTGGCAAAATCTCACATTGAGTCAATGGACCGAAGAGATCAAATGATTCATATTCATAAGAAACAATTGAACTTTAATAGACAAAACGTGCTTAGGAGTGATGAAGTAGTGTAAGGATGGGTGATATCTATAGATACTATGTTATGTACCCAAGAGTAAAATTATGTAGGATATGTCCAAAGAGGACAATATTTTGATCATAGAAAGGGTTGGGTTGTTTTAAATGGTATCAAAACCTCTCTATATCCCTCTTAAATGTTGGTAGGGTAAATCTCAACGAGAACATTGAGTCTCAGAGTCCGAAGGGGGTGTAATGTAAGGCCTTGGACAAATTTCATATTGGCAAAGTACGAGAGAGATCCATGGTTCATAAAGAACGATCCAATCTAACTGACAAGACATATTTTGGGTGAAGTGGATGAGTTATTATAAGAACTCTAAAGTTAAACGTGCTTATTGTGGAGCAGTGCAAAGTAGGGTGACCTATTGGGAAGTCACTGTGATATGCACCTAAAATTAAAATCTTGCTAGGGTTGAGACAAGAACAAATTTATATATTGGCCAAAAAGGTTGGGTTGTTACAGTTAGGGGTGTTCAAACGGTTTGGTTACCATGGTAACCGTTTTAACCGGTACTATTTGGATAATTTGGTTTGGTTAATTTGGATAATTGGTTTGGTTTGGTTAAAGTTTTTAGCTTGTTTGGTTTAGGTGGTTTGGTTTGGTTCCAGACACTCCTAACCAGTCAAACCAAATTAACCAGTTAAGTAATTAGTCATATATCTAACACATATTATATACACATACTTAATACTTTGCATAACCACTCAAGAGTTAACGTTCATCCCTTTTAGACTCGTAAAATATAAAGCTCAATATTGCTCATATAGTGTATATTTGTATATGTAAAATGTAGACCACAACATATGGACGCCTAATTTATATAAATTTCATACATTATGATGGATGAAAACTTGAAAGGAAGGTCATTTACAGCCTATGATAATTGCTAAGAGACTAAGTCAATTTACACAAACACAACAATTCATTAACACATACCATTGTCATAAATTTGTGTTAGGTGAATACTTCTATACTAATCATAAGATAATTATCTTAGTTACATGTATTTTTGTTAAGGGTCAACTATAACTACGTGTTGGTTGTTATGTTTTATTCATTATATAAATTGCGAATTGTTGCATTAACCGGAAAATTTTCATCGTCAATGATAATGTGATTTTATATTGGTTAATGTGGTTAACCATAACCAAACCGATTAAACTTTAGTTTGGTTAATTTGGTTATTGTATTAGTTCGGACGGTTTGGTTATGATATTGTATTCCATAATTAATAGAATTTAGCCTTATTTGGTTTGATTATAATCATGGTAACCATTTGAACACCCCTAATCTCAGCAACCGGATCATCCGATGGCTAAAAATATGATATCCACAGACAGATTTGAAGATGGAAGCCGTTGTCCGTTGATCTGTGCCACCGCAGCTCCTCCTCACAGTCTTATAAATAGCCAAAATGGGATTCCACTTCCGCGCTCCACCACCTCCATTCACGATTCGACTTCTTCTCCACCCGTCCTTCTTCAGTCCCTCCCTCTCTTAGCCCGCTCTCTCTTTGTCACGCTCTAATCAGATGGCAACTCACGGCCAAGTTATCACCTGCAAAGGTATCTCTCCCTCTTTCTCTATTATTCCTCGTCATCGTTCAATTGCATTAGTGGACTCTTACTGGCGATTTCGCAATCCCGATGCATTTGGGGTTTTGGGATGATATGCGATTGTGACACGAAGCTGCGGTGGCGTGGGAACCTAACAAGCCGCTGGTGATCGAGGACGTCCAGGTTGCCCCGCCGCAGGCCGGTGAGGTCCGCGTCAAGATTCTCTTCACTGCTCTCTGTCACACTGATGCCTACACTTGGAGCGGCAAGGTACTTGCATAGTTGTTCTTCACCCACTGCCTCGTTGTTAATCAAATTTTATTTCTCTGTTCTGCTGCTGCTGCTGCTGCTGCTGCTATTGCTGTCAATGTTCATTGTTTCAATTAGATATATTTCGACCTTTAGTTTGCTTTTGGTGGATGTTGTTAAGTTTGATGGTATCTTGCTTGTGTGTGTTCGTGATTGCATTGCACTGGTTTACATTATCACTTTTTTTTTCTGTTGTTATGGGAATGTCAAGGTAAACGGCGACTATATCACTACCATGTGTATGTCTTACAATTGAGTGGCCCTCGTTGTTTTGGTCTTTGTTCAGATAGCTTCCATGTATTGACATGATTCTCAACCACTTCCCCTTGTAGGATCCTGAAGGCCTCTTCCCTTGCATTCTTGGTCACGAGGCTGCTGGGTATGGATGCCTTATACCTACTCTGATTTTGATGGCTGCCCCTCTCAGTTGGGTGAAATGGTTCTATTCCTAATTGTATTTCTTTTGGACATAGGATTGTGGAGAGTGTGGGGGAAGGTGTAACTGAGGTGCAACCAGGTGATCATGTCATTCCTTGTTACCAAGCTGAATGCAAAGAGTGCAAATTTTGCAAGTCTGGAAAGACAAATTTATGTGGCAAGGTCCGCTCTGCCACCGGTGTTGGGGTTATGATGAATGATCGTAAAAGCCGTTTCTCAGTTAATGGGAAACCCATATACCATTTCATGGGGACTTCTACATTCAGTCAATATACTGTTGTGCATGATGTGAGTGTTGCGAAGATCGACCCAACAGCTCCACTCAACAAAGTATGCCTTCTGGGCTGTGGTGTTCCCACTGGTAAGGATTGCATCCAATCTTAATTGGAAAGCTGCATCAACCATGACTTTCCTGGGAATCCTATATTACTTGCTATTGGCCTCCCATTTGTTCCCACTGTAATCCAGGCTCATTATTAGCGAATTAAAATGAAAGACACTTGAACAAAGGCACTTGAACCCTTTGAGTTGCATATGTTACCTTTGGTGTTGCATTGATCTAATATAATATATTTCTGAACAAGAGCATCTGTTTTAATTTGAGATTCACACAATCTATGGGAGTTGCCCACTCCTATACTTCCTGCTTATTATATTCCACGGGGCCATTCTTGCTTCTGTATGCATATTTATGGATAGGAAATGCAGGATGATTGTTTGTAGAAATATTTTATGCAATATCAGGTGGTGACTAATTGAGTGTTCGGTCCTTCAGGTCTCGGAGCTGTTTGGAACACAGCTAAAGTAGAAGCTGGGTCAATTGTTGCTATTTTTGGCCTCGGTACTGTTGGCCTTGCAGTAAGTTCTCAATACACACTCTCTCTATTCAGTATAGCTAATCTCTGTCAATGAATGAAAAATTCTGTTCAGAAATCATGTCCTAACTGCTTTCTGATTAAATCAATTGATTGTATAGGTTGCAGAGGGGGCAAAAGCAGCTGGTGCTTTGCGCATTATTGGCATAGATATTGATCCTAAAAAGTTTGATACAGGTAGTATCTCATTCTCGTTCTCTATGAATATAGCATTTTTTTTGTCTAGTGGTCAAATGGATATAGCGTTTATTTCTTCTGTCGCTACCTTTCTTTAGTACTTACTGTTGCATATGTTGGATATCATTTGATCAGCAACTTGTTTTGTTTGAGTAAGATTTCCTTACGAGTTTTTGTAGTGAGTGATAAAACCTTACCTTTTGATTCCCTCGCCTATGGATTTATCCATTATATAATAAGCAGCTTAGCCCCAGTTTTTTCACACGCAAATTGGAATTTGTAACTGCGCTTACTTAACAGTAATGTTGGCTATAAATCTATTATGTTATTGTTACCTCTTTCTGAAGTTTCTGCATGTCTGTTGGTCTGAGGTGTGGAGTCTAGATTATGGAATTGGAGAAACCTTTTATTCCAGGTCGCTGAATATTGCTTGATTAATTACCTGACGGGGTTGATTGCATTGTGCAGCGAAGAATTTTGGGGTTACAGAATTTGTGAATCCGAAGGACCACGAGAAGCCGATTCAGCAGGTCCTTGTTGATCTTACTGATGGTGGTGTGGATTATAGTTTTGAGTGCATTGGGAATGTTTCTGTAATGAGGGCTGCTTTAGAGTGCTGTCACAAGGTAAGTAGCACCGGATATATAAAAGAATGTGATGTCTTTTGTTAACTTTATACTATTAGTAGTGATAGGATTTGGGAGTGGATGCGGACCATATGTGACGGAGATGAGCAATTTCAGGGCTGGGGAACCTCGGTCATAGTGGGCGTGGCTGCTTCAGGTCAGGAGATATCAACTCGTCCTTTCCAGTTAGTGACAGGCCGGGTCTGGAAGGGAACTGCTTTTGGTGGTTTCAAGAGCCGTTCACAAGTGCCTTGGCTTGTGGAAAAATACTTGAAAAAGGTGAAGCAAGCAATAAACCATAGTCCTAGTTTTATATTATGTGCATGCAAGCTCACTGGGGAATGCTGTTGTTCTTGTAATTCAGGAAATCAAGGTGGATGAGTACATCACACATAATTTGACTTTGGCGGAGATCAACAGAGCATTTGATCTGATCCATGAAGGAGGCTGTCTTCGGTGTGTGCTGGACTGCCAAGTCTAGGGATTATCTACGGAGGGAGGGAGGGGATGCCATTGTGAGGACATGCCGATGGATTTTTATTTAATGTCAAACATGAAAAAGCAATGCCCAAAGATATATGTTAGTCAAGTTAAATTTTTTTTTTATGGGATATGATAGTTAATAACGCCCTAGCTGTGCTCTCTTAAGTTTGTCGGTGTATATTATTGCAGTTGGTTTATTGTGTGGTATAACTCGATTAGTATTTAGTAGTAGGATGACGATTTTGATTTTACCCGACCTGTTTGGCCTGTTTTTGGTTGGTCCGATTAGTAGTAGGATGACAATTTTGATTTTACTCGACCTGTTTGGCCTGTTTTGGGGTGGGTCCGACCCGTCTCGTAGGCGGGGCAGGCATGTGTACCTCTTATCGACCTGATTTGTCCCAACCCGCCCCATTCTTGACCCGTTCCTTTCTAATTTACATGTAATCTTAGTCAAATTATTTAGGATTTTTCTCTTATTACCTCATATTTTAGCTATATAAAGTTGTAAATA